CACAAAAATGACGAATATGAGGCACTGCTACTTCTTTAACAGTGACAGCTCTGCCCTGCTTTAATCCTTTCACCTTCTAGATAAAAAGTGTTAGATACCTGATCACCACATTGACTCCATTTCTTGAAAGCATCTAATCCAAAATGGCTTCCTCCTCCCTAATTCCTCTTTAGAATCATTCAGCCGGCTCTTGCCAATGCCCTCTAACTGAGATGCCCCGCAGTCTCTCTTGAGGGCTTTCTCCTTTGCTACAGTAAGCTAAATAATCCTAATTTTTTTATTATTATAATTTATCGCCCTAGTTGTCTTTGGACAGAGAGGTTTAACAGCACCATACGGGGATCCAGACACTGCCATACTGCAAATCACTTAGAAGGAAGACAGTAAGCTCTAGAGTTCTGGAATATACATCTACGAATGAACTCTTTCCATAAAATACAAATGTGGCAAAAGCAATGTTCCTAATTAGTGTGTTATTTTATAAAATGTGAGATTTCAAGTATGGGAGTGCTAATCAATTAAGAAATTAAATATAATTAGGCATTTGACAATCTCACCCACATTCCTAAATGATTCTATCAGTTGCTCAAAAATTTATTATAAATTTTATCTTCTCAGAGGGAAAGTGGGGCTCTCCTTATATTCAAGCATAAGTGATAACCATTTATTCAACCTCTCATAGTCAAGACTTTTTACTCAGTTGTGAAGCTAATTTGCATTAAAAAATGAAATTCTCCTACTTATGTATTAATAAATTATAAAATTTCTCTAATACTGTTACGCTCTATAATTCTTCTCTGAACTGCTTCTATTATCATTGACACGGAAATGGTATTTATCAAATAAGTCAGTCAAAATGGATCTGTTCATTTGGGGGGACAAACTCATATCTGTTATCTTGCTATTGATTCTGATGTTACCAAAAAAAAAAGTTGCACCAGGTAAATGAGATCATACGCCTGATAGATGATGTATAAAATCCAAATATTGTTATAACCGTAATATCTAATTGGGCAACATCTGACCAACAAGATACCACTTGACCTGCTATAACATACACAAATTTTGAGATGCACATCTGTTATGAGTGATGTATTTTAAATTATCAGGCAAAAAAATAAATAAATAAACCCAAAGACGTTTTTAGAAATGTTAAGATGTTGATGTTGGCAGTAGAACAAACTCAGGAGAAAAAAAAAAAACAGCTTAATCTAGTTAATTAACAATAAAACAGCTGGGAAAATGAAACACCCCTGGTTTTGACTGACTATAATTGAACATGACTAATGATGCTGTCATTTTGCAGCTTGTATTGGGGGAAATGATGCCTGGAAGATTATAATTGGCCTCTTGACCATTTGTTTACAGTAATTATTTTTGTGTTAAAGGTTGGGGTGGAACCCTTTGGCCAAATATAGAAAGCTCCAAATACCTTATTTTTTTCTTATATTTAAAAAAAAAATCAAGAGCAGTAATAAAATATATTATTAGATTCATGTTAAGATTTTTTTTGGATAATCTAAAAAGTTAGCAAAGCAAACCAGCTGGTGTGATCTTATCACTTTACCAAGTTACTAAGACATTTTAAATTCTGTTAATGTTCTCAGTTCTAATAATGGAAGGTGATATAAGTATTTCAAAATATATACACACATTTAAAAATTTTTAACATAAAGAGCAGTGTTCCAAATTAAGTTAAAGAATAAGTACAAATAGAAGAAAATGTCATCTAAATGCTTAAGTTCAAAAGAGAGTTAACATTTTTTTAAATCGAATAACAAATGGCTTTTTTTTTGTAGCTGTCAATACTGTTGCTACTGATGGAAGTTGTTTTTGTTGCTTTTTAACTGCTAAATTTGGTGCTATTGAGGAACCTACTCATTACTCTGTGGAAAATGGAACACATTAAAATGATTAACAGTATTATCATAAAATACTATTACCAAAAGTATAACTTAATCAAAATGTTAAACAATTTATTGAACTTATCCAACCAATCTTCAACAATTTCTGAAGTTAAGATGAAGGAACAATGTACAAATCAAATGAAATAAAAGTATGTGCGCGTGTGTAGGGGGAGAGCGAGATAAGAGACAGAAAGCAAAACAAAGATGCTTATTTCTTCAATCATATTATTCTAAGATTTTTCCAGAAATTCTGCATTAGAGATCTAGTGCTATATTTATGTCATGAGTAGAACTGTTTCATAATATATGTTTGATCTTTATCAGGAAATCCTCAAAGAAAATAAGGAAGACGTTTAGTTAGGGATGACAAAAAAAGAAACTAAAAAGTGACCCTCTTTGAAAATTAAATAAATCCTAGAGAAGTTGATAAAGTTAAGAAAAAGGGAAAAAAACTGAACAGGGATGAGCCCAGCTCCCAAACAGGACTCAGTTTGGGAGGTGAGCGTAGGAGGTAAGCAGACAGCTTGTCTGATGCGGAATGTGGAGGTGCCAATAGACAGTCAATTTTCTAAGAAACAGAATCATTTTCTGATGTGTCCTTAACTAGAATCTCTGCAAGTGGTGGACATACTACTTATCCATTTAGATACTGGATCTTATATACACACCATGAGGGATTTTCATTTTCTTTTTAAAGACTGTCACCTTCTTCTTTATAATTGTTACAGTTTCTAAATGTACCTCCTCCCCAAGACAAAAAACAAACTTCTATCATGAAAATGTACTGCAGGCTACTTGTACCCTTTTCCCTTCCATTACGGAGTGAGAAACCTCAAAGTTAAGGAGGAAAGGCACTAGGAAGGGCAAAATTTTAAAATTTTGATATATGAAGTCAAAGTCTAAAACAGGCTTTGTTTATATACTATCAGAGCAATGGCTCACCCTTTAGAAAAATCATCCCTAATCTTTAAAAAGAAGTTTTTGATCCATGCAGAGGTTTAAACAGTCCCCACAGCTTGCTACCTTGTATTGCTGGGTTCCAGGTTTTGAACTATGAGGTAGTTTTTGAGCCTCTAGAGTTTTAGGCTACCACAAGCCCCAGCTAATCTTCAAGTGTGCCCAAGGTCATGGCCCTTATCAAAAGCTGCACGTGAAGAACCTATTTCTCCACACTCCTGATCTCTCAAATCAATCTTGCCCTTTCGCCACTGTGAACCTGATACGGTGATTCCTCTCCAAACTTGAGGGGTAAATGGTAGAGCAGGAA